TTGCATTCTCTGCCCAACCTGATGCCTTCGCTCTGCCACACGCGGGTGAGCTTCCCTTGCTGCTCCTGCTGGCGCTCCCCATCGGGCGTTGGGGCTGCGGAGCTGCCGGTCGAAACAGTCCGGCTGCCCAGGACGAGCCGCGCCAACTTCGCCCCGCAAAGCCCTCCACGGGCAGCAGCGGCGGCCATGGCCTCGTTACAGCGGCGCAGAGCGGGAGCGGCTCAAGGGGGACCCCTGCCGGCCAGAGGCGGAAAGGAAAAAAGGGTACGGTCAAAAGAAAAATATGGACGTCCAACTCTTTTTATCTCAATAGAATAATAAGCAATCAAGCAATCTACAAGCAATCAGAATAGAGCTGGAAGAAGGGGCCTTGAGGTCTTCTAGTCCAACCCCCTGCTAAATCAGGAGAGCCTAGACCATTTCAATCAATCGGAACAGAGCTGGAAGGGACTTTGGAGGTGTTCTAGTTCATCCCCGCTAAGATAATAACATAATAGCCTCAGCGTTTTAATTTTACATACTAAAATGTGTTAGCGATTTCTATAACAACAAACTTATCCAATCCCACCCCCCCAAAACAACCAAAGTCAACGTTTCTTTCCCCCGCTCATCTCAGGCACAAAAGTCAGAAGCGGTTTCCAAGCAGAAACAAAGCTGGATATGAATTTAGTCATCTCTGCTAGTGCCATCAATTTTTCCAGCCCATTATCCGTTGTGGGAATTAAATGTACATTTTTGTACATATACATATATAAAAACAGCAAAATCCCATTTTTTTTCCAAGTTCTTTCTCCACTAAGCGTAAAAGAAACGAGTCTTTACAGGTAGTTCACAGTTCATTTGGTGACCGTACAAAGTTACAATGGCATTGAAAAAAGTGACTCATGACCATTTTTCACACTTATGACTGTTGCATCCCCATGGTCACATGATCAAAAATCAGCTGTTTGGCAACTGACTTGTATTTATGACTGTTTCAGTGTCCTGGGGTTACATGATCCGCTTTTGCGACCTTCTGACAAGCAAAGTCAATGGGGATGCCAGATTCACTTAACAATTTGTGTTACTAACTTAACAACTGCAATGATTCACCTAACAACTGTGCCAAGAAAGGTTGTAAAATGGAACAAAACTCGCTTAATAAATGTGTCACTTAGCAACATAAATTCTGGGCTCAGTTATGCTCATAAGCTGAGAACAACCTGTATTTTCTTTTGTATTCACTTTAAGAATCTTAAATATGAATCTCACCCCAGTATTTCTACCAACAGACCAAACTCATAGTTGCTCTGTGAGTGCGATGGGTGGTGTCCAGATCTGATATATAAATATAAATGAAATTTATTTTAATTATTTATCATTTTAATAAATAAATATTATTTTCTCATCCTCCCAGAGTCGCTTTGGATAGGGAGATGGACAGCATATGAATGTAATAAATAAATAAACACTATGTCAATCGTGGTTTGCCATCGCCTTCTTCTGGAATGTGTTCTTAGCTTCCCAAGAGAGGGTGCCAAAAGTTTTGGCCAGAGGTGTATTGTTTTCTTTCGGTTATACTGGTTTAGCTGCCACTGACTCACCGATCCATAGAGGTCAGTGGAGTTTCTGTTTCCCTCCTTTTTTCGTGCCCTGCTATGTTCTAATGCAAGTGACCCCAGCCATTTCATAGCAATGGCAAAGAAATAAGGCTTTATTCAGTGGAAACACCATTTTTTCTCTTGAAAATACTTCCCCCACTCTGAGGTCTCCTTCTTGAATCTGAGAGCTGTTCATTGTCAGTCACTCCAAATTCCAGCTGCTTTGAAATCTGTAGCCCTACCAGAAATTTGGTTTGCATTCACACATGTGTCACCCAACCACTGTTAGAGTGGCTGGCTCCCCGAAGTGCACTCTCTTTTCCCACTGGCTGCGGCAAACTCGCCACGGCCAACTCGCCACGGCTAACTTGCCACAGCAAAGTCACCATGGCCAACTCGCCACGAGACAACTCTCTGTGGGACAATTTAACAACTCTATTTAATTATTTAAAATAAATAAAAAATAGTTCAATTTTTGCCATTGACATTTCATTTTGTCGTTCTTTTGCATCCTTTCATGATTCCATTCCACCATTTCGTCGATATTAGTGTACTTCTTGTCCCATGTCGTCCCATGGCAGGTTGGCTGTAGTGAATTGTCCCTCATTGAGTTGACAGTGGCAAGTTGGCTGTGGCGACTTGACCATGGCAAATTGTCATAGACCCCCCCTCTAGGGCTTCCCTTATAGTTGCACTCATTGTACAAACATTCTCTGGTGAGCTGGTGCTACTGTTCCTTTTTAAAGCTGCAAGAAAATCTAAAAGAATATCAGTTAATGGAATGGAATAGAATAGAATAGAATTCTTTATTGGCCAAGTGTGATTGGACACACAAGGAATTTGTCTTGGAGCAAATGCTCTCAGTGTACATAAAAGATACATTCATCAAGAACCAAGAATCATAAGGTACAACGCTTAATAATAGTCATAGGGTTGCTTGATGCTTATCGGCTTGATGCTTCTTGGTGATAGGGCCAACAAGTCTGGACAATCTAATTTTTCCATTTCTTCAATATTTCCCACTTTTTTTTGTTTTTGCAAAAATTAGTATAACTGATTGCCTTGGATGGGTGGGATTCAATTTTTTTTACTACCAGTTCTGTGGGTGTGCCTTGGTGGACGTGATAGGGGAAGGATACTGTAAAATCTCCTGTCAGGAGTGGTATTTGCTGGTTCTCCGAACTACTCAAAACTTCCGCTACCCATTCTCCAGAACTGGTCAGAACCTGCTGAATACCACTTCTGCCCTGGATTGTTGTAAGACCAGAGTGTGAAGAATTGACTGGGTTCATACTGTTTTCTTTTTTTTTATTTTTCTGATATTTATCCATGTATTCATAACTATGTTTTTACTTACACCTATTATCTTGTAAGCAATTGACAAACCAAATAAATAAAAAATAAATAAATAAATTATCTTAAGCCTTTGTCCATATCCAAAGTTGCGTTTTACTTTGGTTCCCATTGGTGGCTGAGTGTATCATGCAACATTCAGGTACAGTGGGTTATATTCATCTTTCACAACTTCTAACTTTCCCCAAATGAACTTTCAGACAAGATTTCAAAACACAAGGAAACACCAGCCTTTTAAAGAAATCAGCTAGATAGAATCATTAATCTTTCTGTTTGCTTTTCCGATAACGAATTATTGAACTTTATTTTAGATTGTTTACGCTTTAAGTGCAATGACAGGACTGGTCCTTAAAGTGAGGCATTTATTTAGATCAGTATTTTTCAAACAAGGTAACTTTAAAACGGGTGGACTTCAACTCCCAGATTTCCTTACTCAACAGGGCAGGCTAAGGAGTTCTGGGAATTGGAGTCCATACCGAGCAACATCCTGCAGCTCTTTTCCCGCAAGAGGCGGAACCTCCGCCTAGCTTTTGACTGAAGATGGCAGAGAGGCTGAGAGAAAGCGGGAACCGGTTTGCCCCTGCCGGCCGCCGTAGCCTCCTTGGAATGCAAAATGGCGCCCTGCTTGGGAACGCCCTCGACGCTGCCAGGCGGCGGCGTGCGGCCAAGAGCCGAGGCTTTCCCTGGCCCGAGCCCGGCGGGCGGGGGAGCGTTGTCATGGCAGCGAGGAGTAGGTGTCACACCGGGCCACTTCCTGGTTGGAGGCCAAGGTCCCGGCCGCTCAGCTGGGAAAAGCACCACCGCGGGGCGGCGGTGGAGACGGACGGAGGCGCGGGAAGGAGCTGAAGGCCGAAGCGCGCGAGGTGAGACGACGGGGGGGAGGAGGGGCTGAGGAATCCCCCGAGGAGCCGTTTCCCTCCAACAAATCCCCCTCTCCCCCATATGCTTTGGATCCGGCCAGTGTGGAGAGGGAAAGGTGGACCGTTCCATTCCTGGAAAGAGGGGTGGTCGTGGTGCGCGCGAGGGGCCGCTTCCTCACGGCGGCCCGGGGAGGCGTGGCCAAGCCCAGGACGGCGCGGGCTTTTCTGGGCCGAGGGCGGGGAGAAGCGCCCCTTTCTTCGGCATTGGGCCCTTCCCCCCCGAAGGAGGCGTGGGGCCGGGCTGAGGCTTCCCCCCTCGTTTGGCGGTGGGGGAGGCGCCCCTGTCCTCCACGGTGGGTTTGAGGGGGGCGGGCAGGGGGATCCTCATAAGGTGATCGGGGCGGGGAGGGAGGGGGGAACAGGGGAGCAACAGCAACTTAGTGGCGAGGGGGCTGTGCCCCCCTTGCAGGGAGGGTTGTCTGGGCAGTGTGTCGGGAAGTCGGCTTCTGAAGGGAGGGGGGTTCTGCAGCAGGAGGGGGAGTAATGGGGCTGGGGGCTTTCATTCTCCCTTTTCTCCTGGGGAGGGAAAAAGAGTTCTTTTTTGGGGGGGGGGTTCCTTGGTGCTCTCTGAACCTGCCTGTTTCCTAGCCAGACGTTTCATGACCCAGCTAGGCAACGCCATCCGTGCTAGGGAGGAATGGGTACAAACCGAGAGCAACCCCCCCCCACTCTCTTCTAGCACTTCATCACTGGAGGCTTTCAAGAGGAGACTGGACTGCCACCTGTCAGAAATGGTGTAGAGAGGGGTTTCCTGCTTGGAGGCGGTGGGGGGGGTCAGGGTTGGACTAGATGACCTTTACAAGGTCCCTTCCAACTCTTGTCAATCTGTTAAAATGAGGAGGTTATCTAGCTAGGTCATAAAACATCTGCAAGGAAGCCACCAGCTTCAGAGAGAGTGCCAAGGACCCCAACCATTTCAAACCTGAGCTACAAATATTTCTCCTTTATTGGCAGAAGGCTTCCTTAGGAGGAGGAGAAGGAAAAAAAATTCAAAAGATGGGAGGGAGGTGTGGCCCTTGGATGAATGGACTGTCTCTGGTTTTGCAGCAGGGCAGTGGAAGAAGAGCGGGCGGGGGGGGGGGCGGGGGGGGGGGGGGGGGGGGGATTCGGGGGGTTGAAGTGACCCTCATCTTAAAAGGCTCTGAGAATGGAAAAAAAAGCTGTGATTGACACCCTCTGGACACCCTTGTTTAGGAAGGGAGCTGTCCATTAGCTTTGGGGTGAGGGGAAGAGAAGCTCCTTTCAAAAAAAAAAAAAACCAAAAACCAAAACCCTCAGCAGAATTTGAGATTTTAGCTCTGGATGCTATTTGGTTTCGTTTAGAAAGATGCTGACGGTTCATGTTTTTTGTCCTTCCTTCCTTGATGGATTTATTCTCTTCTTTGGGAACTGGGATTCGGCCGCTGAATATTTTGCTGATTCGAATGGCTGTTTGGGAATGAGAAGCCACGCGTGCCTCACGGTATCATTCCTTGAAGTTTGAGGTAGCTTTAAAAAAAAAAGAAAAAATCCTGCCTTTTCAACTTCTGTTGCCAAGAAAGGTCTCTCTTAAACGAAGTGGAGAGGAATTGGAGTGTGTTGTGTTAAATTTATGGAGGAACTCTTCCGGCTTAATTCTGCGTGCTTTGAAAGAGATAAATTTTGTAGTTTTTGCTCTGCAGCCTCATCTGGGTTTCCTGGAAAGAGGAAGCTCTAGTAAGAAAGCTGGTTTTGAATAACATGCATGGGGTCAGTAGTGCACATTATTGTACCATTGAATAGTACAGGTGGTCATTGACTTACAACTGGAATTATGGTTGTAAATCATTGTCATAAATTGAGGTTTCACAGGGCTATTTTTGATGAATGGACTGTCTGGGTTTTTTGGCATTTTTTTTGATGCAGCTATTAAGGAATCATTAAGGTGGTTAAGCAAATTAATTTTATCCCAGTGGGTGTTTGTTTGTTTTTTGACGGAAATTGGTGTAAAACATTGAAAATTGTGGTTAAATGACCTCAGGATGCTGCAAAGAGTCATAAAAGTGAGCCAGTTGATAAATGCCCCAAATGCAATCTCATGAAATAGGGGTCATTGTGTGGCCATTGGAAATAGGATGGTAAGTATCTTCTGAAGGGTCTGTGGTAATTATGAACGGTTGCTAAATCCCGTAAAGGTAAAGCATCCTTCAAGTTGAACTTCAAGTTGAACTTCGCTCCTTGTGGATTCATGGAAGTTGATTTAGCTTTTCTGTTCTGGCTTGTGGCCCTGGGATTTCCAGGTGGTGTCTCATCCAAAAACAACCTGTCCTAAGTCATAAAGTATAGGTATTAGAAGGGATTTTGGAGATCATTTTAAAGGAGTGTTTCTCGAACTCTTGGGTGATCCTGTGACTTGAAATCCTGACACCTTAAAAGGTTGAACTGGTGTAAGCCCCTGCCAATTACAGGTGTCCACGACTATATCTTTTTCTAAACTCAACCCTAAGATTAGTAGGAGCTGCCACCTGCTATTTGAATAGAAATTTTAATAATTTTAGCTGCCAAGACCTGATGATCTTCATTTTTTTTCTCTCTGAAGCTCATGACTTGGCAGCCAGGAAATGCAGTTTTCCTTATGACTCTTTGATATGTAAATACATTGAAACTGAATTGAAAAGAGGGAGTGTCTTTGGAAATCCTTTGTTTCACTTATAAGGTATTTAGAAATGGCTATTGAATGAGTATCGAGTGTAATTGCGTTAGTTGTAACTTGAAACTTGTTGCATTTATTATAATGGCACTGGATAAGAATGGCTTTTCTGCACAGCTTTCTACGTTCTGTTCTTTATTTAAGGCTGCTCTTTATTTGTTTGATTTTTAAGCTGCTTCAATCCTTCCTGCCCTTCTAGGTAATGTATAACACGTTAAACTAACTTTAAAAAAAAGTTAAATGCAAGTGCTAGGATCTGTTAGTGGAGGCCAAAATGTGTGTTCTGTACTCCATTATGAGACTGTGAGGTGCTTTAATAATCTTAAAAAAAAACATTCTGGGTTGCCTAATGGCTTTTACTGTTATTCCTATCCACATGTTTTGTTAGCTGCCCACAGTTACTTTGGTAAGATGGCCAGTTGTGTAAATTCAGTAAATAAAGCATGAGTTAACAACCGAGAGCTATATGCTTGTATGGAGAGGGAGGAAATACCAGAGCCAAACAAATACAATGTCAAGGAGCGCAGATTTACAGAGTTCCTGCCTCAGGATTAGTTAAGAAAATTTATATGGCCACCCAACTCATGCGCAGTGAATCCAGGCAGCATGCAAAGGTACATGAACAATGCATGAACAATGAAAGAGCAATAGTGCACAACCCCCTGGGCAACAACAATCAAATGCGCTTGATGGACTCTGTCTCACTCTGGTGTCCCCAAGCCCAGGGTCTTCGAGGCCTCCAGATCCCCAGGCCCAGAATCTTCCAGTGTTAAAGTGGGGGAAAATCTTGTGTCCATGGGGATGGAGTCCCATGTGATGCATTATGTCATGTTCTGCCTGATGTAGAACAGGGGAGTCAAACTTAAGGCCTGCAGGCCACATGCAGCCCTCAGGGTGCTTACATCTGGCCTGTGGGGCCACCCCGGAAACAGTAAAAGACCAGCCTGTGGTGCCTCTGCCAGGGAAAACGGAGCTCAGGAGGGCTGTGTGCAGCCTTCCCGAGCTCTGTTTTTGCTGCCAGAGGGTTGCAGGAGACTGTCACAGCCGAAAACAGCGTTTGGGAGCCCATTTTTGCTGGCAGAGTGCTCAGACCACAACAGGTGCCCCCAAGGCAAGTGAGCTGACCACGCCCACCCTGACCACCACCCCCCCACATTCCAAGGTCAAACACAGCCCTGATGCATACCTCAGTGAAATCGAGTTTGACACCCCTGATGTAGAAGGAACTCTGTTTTAAAGGTTTTCCTAAATGATGGATAGTGTTAAGCTTGATTTAGAGTTGCGCACAACTGCGCATAGGCATCATTGTTTACCTCCACAGATGGATAAGCATAGGTTGGGCCGATGCACACACCTCTCAAATCCCAACTATGTGTTGTGCAGAAATGTGCATCTTGCATGGTGATAGTTTGATCTGACTCCCTTTTCCTGTTGCATTTATATGTCTGCGAATGTTTATTCCGGCTGGTGGAGCGTCCCTCTAGTCAGAATGAACATTCACAGTTGTGTAAATACGACAGCTTTGCAACCAGTGATGGAAGTCTGTCCAGGGCCTTTCGGGATTGTGCAAATTTTAAAGGCGGCATTATTCTGTGTGACCACAGAAAGGCCATATCTTAGACTTCACAGTTAAGGGGGCCAGCATACATACCTGGAGAAAGATGTTCCCACTGATAAACCAGTTGACTTTGGAATTTGGACAAAAGGTCTCATTTTATAGATTTAACTCTGGATTAGTCATAAACCCACACCTTAGAATTAAATTAGCACAGATGTTTCTCTAAAAAAAAGTGTTGTCCACTATATTCTTACGTTTGGCAGGAACAGTTTTCAAAGTGCAGAGAATCTATCATTAGCTACAGAATCTATTTATGGCCCTCTAATGGACAGTGAACTATATATAGGAGAATCCTTATTTAGAAATGAAGGAGGTTTGTTTCCTAGAAATTTGAAGTGTTAATGACAATGATTTAGTAAATTCAAGATAGTGTGTGAATAGTACTTAAAAGGACAATGCCTAGAAATGTGTACGAAAAGAGGGAGAAAATAGGATTTGAGGATTTACTTCAGGCCCCGGATGTGAAAAGAAGTTGTGCGTGATAGAGATTTCATTTATTTTCTGATGGATTCTACACTGGTTATAAAATCCAGTACCTTTTGGCAAAAGCTGACTTGTTGTGTCCTCTTGATATGTTGAGACTACATTTCCCAGAATTCCAGCCACTATGGCCATTGCTGAGGTAAATGATCATTTCTGTAGCTGCTGGGTCACAGCTATCTTTATTTTATTTACTGGGCTTATATGGCACTCTGATTATAATTGAAGCCGAACTGCATTCATACCTAATACAATAATTGGGTTAAAAACAAAACATACAAGAATTCTCTCACTGTCTTTCTCAAAACATCCCAAGCTCTTCTACCAACCTATCATATATAACATTCTTCCTTGTAGTAGAGAGCACCACAGATCTCAAAGGCATGCTACAAAAATTGAGTTTTGATTGCTTTTTGAAAATTTAGGAGATTTAAAAGGCACACTATACCCAACTTTAGAAAGACCTATTGTGTATAATTTAAAAAACCCTTACACTTTACTGATTTAATAAAAAGTCCAGTAGTTCTGTGGAAATTTAGACTTTGCTTAAGAGACATCACCTAGGCTGAAGTAGCAGTTGCTTTCATGTTGGGTAGAGTTGCAATTAATATTGGTAGTAGCCAAACTCTGCAGGAGAACCCATTTTTAGCATGTATAATTTGGTTTAAGTTTCTTAGGATATTTATCATGTCTGCGTCAAAATTATAGCTCAAGACAGACAGCTTGGAGCAGAGTAAATGCCAAAACAGAGGGCAGGTGTTGTGTAGTGTCCAGCAGATTATCCAAAATCTCAATTTTCAAAAAATAAAAAAGCAACATCTTTCTAATGAAAGACATACCTGCTTTTACAGCTGCAATTACAGTTCCTAAGGAATAGAAAAAGCTGTGGGAGAATTAATTCAATCACTGAGCAATCCCTTTGACTAAAAAAGCTTTTTCTGGTTTGAGATGGTACAGTAATATAGTTCATTGTGCCTTTGATAGGTTGCATTTTTCTGCAGAAATCATATATAGGTAATCCTCGACTTAACGACCATAACTGAACCCAAGATTTATGTGGCTAAAGCAAGATAGTAAAGTGATTTTTATCCCATGTTACCACCTTTCTTGCCACTGTTGTTAAGTGAATCACTGCAGCTGTTAAGTTAGTAAGCGAATCTGGCTTCCCCCTCTGACTTTGCTTGTCAGAAGGTTACGAAAGGTGGTTGCATGATCCTTCATGTGATTACATTCATCGCTGCAACCGTCATAAATATGAGCCAGTGACAAAAGGATCATGGATCATGTGACTGTGGGGATGCTGCAATGATCGTAAGTGTGAAAAATGGTCATGTCACTTTTTTTTCAGGGCCATTGTAACTTTGAACAGTCACTAAATGAACTGTTGTAAGTCGAGGACTACCTGTTCTACATGTTCTAAACCAGTACAAGTGAGAGCGCTATATGTAGTACTGAATCAATATGGTTGAACAGACAGCAAGGAATCGACTAAATCAGGGGTCACCAACCTTTTGGACTTCAGGGACCACCAAACTCATAATTTTGGATTCCGGGGAATAACCGGTTTTGTGGGTGTAGCCTAATTTGTGCGTGTGGCTTGGTGGTCATGTGACTGGCTGGGCACGGCTTGTATATAAATATTATAAATAATAATATTTATATTAATATTTATATTAATATTGAATTTTTTATTCTTAAAAAAGAGCAACTTTTACCCAAAATCAGGCAGAGCAGGCAGATCAGTTCCTCACAGAATCATTCAGTGATCTATCTATCTGCCATCGGCTAGCTCAGTCTCTCAAATTTGCTTGCCATGAGTCTGCACTGAATTTGCTTGCAAGCAAACCTTCAGTCCTAAAGGAGGTTCGGCTGTGCTGAGCAGAAGATCTAAAGACTAGCTAGAAAGCAAGAAATCCAACCATTTCCTGCTTCCTAGCTAATCTAAATCTCCCGGCACAGCAGAACAGATGATGTTCAGAAAAAGGAAAAATAGCAATTTAGCAGGCAGGTTTACCAGGTAAGGAGTGAGTGGGCGGGGAGGGTTCCTGTAGGCCATGTGGGCGGAGTAGCCTTGTGTTTCTGCACAGCCTGGATTAATTGCTTTGTGGGGGTGCTCTGGGGGTGAGATTTCTCTGTGGCCCACCAAAATTTTCTCACGGCCCGCTGGTTGGCGACCACTGGACTCAATAATAAAGTGCACTGGCTAATAATATTTGCAAATGCTTATTGAAAGAATTTGTCTGATGTGCTGCAGAGTAAAAAGGAGAAAGGTGAATGGAATAAAATGCGTTTGGTTCTGCCAGAGTTTGCAGTATGTACCATGATTATTGAAGTTTCCATTAATATAAGATTTCTCATTTACTTCATGTGGAGACAGTCTAAAGGTCAAAATTCTCAATATTAATGAATAGTTGTGTCTTGCAACTCAAATGAAACGTTTCCTTAAGTTTGGTGGGCTTATAGGTAGACAGATAAAACGCACTCACCTGTTGGGAACCCCTTATCTAAAGTTAGTTTCCAGTACTTGCTCTTCTTCTAAATATTGTCTTTGAATTTCTCCTGTTGCTATGATTGCATCAGGTTACTGTTCTTTGCTAATTTTTGCCGTTGACGAACTGGCAGCCTTCTATTTGAAAAACCTGGTGGCTTTCCAGCTATTTTCATGGATTTGTTTCAGATCTGCAAATGTTAAGTTGCATTCTAAGGAAGTGGATAATTATGCTTGCTTCTTATTCTTAAATTGTAAGAAATCAGAGATTTGGCATAAATCTAGTTGGCTTGGATTTAGACGGGTGGTGAAGTTGTATCGATTCCCTTTTTACATTTCTTTCGTATATGAGGGAGTTTCCAAGTGGAACAAACTGGCTGTAATATTGATTTGGGGACAAATGAACTGATTGAGAGACCTCTCAGAGATTCAGAAAATTGTTTTTTTTTTCCCCAGAAAAATGAAGGTAAGTTGGAATCCAATTAATTCAAGTTGGGTCGATGGTAAAGATCAGGAATGCTTCTGTTTGCTTAATGGTTTTCTAAATGCGATGTTAATAACGAGCAGCATTAAATGTGGCCTGGTAAATGGCATGGTTATCACGCCTGGCATTTTCAGAAGGGCCTTCTCTGCAGATGTTAATGCCGAGATGGGCTGCAATTTTTTTTATTTTTTTTTGCATCAAGCCAGAAGGACAAGCTGCATTGCTTAGATTCGGTGCAAACTCTTGGTTAATGAATTTAGCTCTGGGTTTTTTTTTCTGACCAAGAGGTGCTATGCCGTTTGGTGAAGGTACATGGGGATGTGATGTGATTTGAGAAGGGGTGTTGTGGGGGGGGTGCTGCAGGAAGTGCCAGGTAGGTTGGTGAGGGCGTGCAGTGATGTGGCACGGGTTTGGGAAGGAGTGTGGGAGCTGCCATGTGGGTCAAGGGTGCATGGGTGTGGTGGGAGTTGGAAACAGGGAGCTGGGTCTGTGTCGGTGGGATTCAAAAATGTTTAGTACCGGTTCTGTGGGCGTGGCTTGGTGGGCGTGGCAGTGGTAGGTTACTGCAAAATCCCCATTCTCTCCCCACCCTACTGACCTGCTTTCCAGCTCCGTTCTCCTGGGCAGGGCAACAAAAGAAGACCCAGCAGATCAGCTGAGAGTCGGGAGGCAGCGAATAGCTGGGGGCAGGGCCAGTCAGAGGTGGTATTTGCCGGTTCTCCAAGCTACTCAAAATTTCCACTACCGGTTCTCCAGAACTGGTCAGAATTGGTTGAATACCACCTCCGGTCTGTGTGCGCCTGTGGGAAGTGCGGCGTGGGTCCGTGGGGGATGGGGAGGGCAGGAAAGGGTACAAATTGGGGAGGCTGTGCAGGTTGGCAAGGCTTATCCAAGAAATTTGTGACTTTCCCTTCTGGCTTCTCCATTGATTTATGGGAAGCTGTCAGGGAGTGTTGGAAGCGAGGATCACATGACCGCATCTGACTGGGTTGTTTCTCAAATTTCATTCTCACAGCAGCGATGGGTCCCAGCGTTCTGTATACTAGCCCATTTGAGCTACCTTGGTTTCATAATGGTTGCCCTACGGTACTCCACTTTGTCCAATTGAAGGTTACTAACCAACAGATATAGAAGTACTGATAAAAGAGAATATTTGTAGCTCGGGGTTGAGATGAGGGCTCTTTGGTGCTCTCCGAGCTTGGTTTGTTTTCTTCTTGCAGACATTTCATGACCCAGCTAGGTAACATCCTCAGTGCTAGAAGGCGGAGGGGTTTGCACTGAGAATGTTATCCAGTTTGGTTCAAGAACATGTCTGCAAGAAGAAAACAACCAAGCTCAGAGAACACGAAGAACCCCTCAGATATAAGAGTTTCAGTAGCATGTTGACAGTATTTCTTCATTTTAACAAAATTAAGATTAAATATAATTACGTACCAAGTGTTTGTTTACATGTGAATCAGAGAAGAGAAACATGAGCTAATTTGTTTTGTAGTCAAAAGCTAAAGGAGGGTCTAAACAAGGCCAGTAAAGTGCACTTTGATAAGAGATTAAAACACAAATATCCTGTCAGCTCCACAGGAGTCCAGCTTCATTGTAATTTTTTCCTCCTGTTCCTGCCACTTTTTCTAAGAATAGGTATCTATTTCTGAATAGATCTCTAAGCTGGCGTGTTTTCTGTTCTCATCCCTATCTACTTTTGTATTTTAAAGTCAGGTTTATATTTACCTTAACTTTTATTAGTACTTCTTTGAAAGCTGTTCTGGGAGTTGTTTCAAACAGGGCGATACACTTCAGACGAACTACTGCTGGAGCAAAGCATCTCAAACAAATTCCCTTGCTAGACATCATAAATCTAAAGCAAGTTCTAGAAGTGGGTTTGAGAATCTTTGGTTTTTTTTAAATGTACTTTGGATCTTTACAGCTACCGTTTAGATGCCGCCGAGCATTTTACCTAAAATGTTGGCAAATGATAATGAGTTATTTCCTCTCACTGACGGCTTCCTTCTGCGATGATTACCAATTCCCTTGCATTTCCTGTACATTGTCCTCCAAAATAGCTGCTTGGAAATCAGGCAGTTGACTGTTATGGGAGCGTAAGTTTTTTTCCAGTACAGGTAGTCCTCAACTTAATGATCACAGTTGAGTTCAGTGTTTCTGTTGCTAAGCGAGACAGTCGTTAAATGAATCGCTGCTGCTGTTAAGTGAACCTGGCTTCCCCATTGACTTTGCTTGTCAGAAGGTCGCAAAGGGGACAGTGCAACTGTCATAAAAATGAACCAGTTGCCAAGCGTCCTAATTTTCATCACGTGGCCATGGGGAGGCTGCAATTATCTTAAGTGTGAAAAATGGTCCTATGTCACTTTTTTCAGTGCCGTTGTAACGTTGAACGGCCACTAAATGAATGGTTGTAAGTCGAGGACTATCTATACTTGGTAGAAGTGTCTTTCTTCCAACTTTAAAGAGCTGCTATCTTTCTTTCAGGAAAAAGAGGAGAAAGGCTAAGATTGTAACCTTGTTGTAGCTTATCCCAGACAATTTAGCTCTTAGTCTGAGCAGTCTTAAAAGTGGGCAAGGCCTGAAGTTGTTGCAGGCTTGACCCATTTCTCACCGACAAAGATTGGTACTAGATTCACATCTTGCCAAGCTGATAAACAGGATCTTTGTGCTCCGAATTTGAAATTATTCTGCCTACATCCTCTTTCAGGATAAAAATATAAGCTGAAAAATCAAGAGAGGGTTGCATAATGTTCTAGGAACAATGTGAGAATGCTAAGTGGTTGTTTGTGGAGTTCTTGATGTTCTATGAACTTGATTGTTTTCCTGCAGGTGTTGCCTAGTTGGGTCATGAAACAGCTGCAGGAAAGCAACCAAGCTCAGAGAGCACCAAGGACCCCACGGTTATTTATCAAGAGTTTCCTTAAAGTTCCTTTCACTGCTATATGCTCTTCAAAACAAAACAAGAACGCTCCAAAAGTCATTGCTACGTATTGAGACTACATCATAGACTCATTTGTGAAGGATTGATTAAGAACTAGCTCTCTTGGTCCCAACAATTCCTTGGACTGTCTCATTCAACAGTTAAATTTTTCCTAAAAGAACTATGTCATCAGATGGATTCACTCTTGAAGTAATACTGTTTTCGTTGTTTTTGTTTTCCCTTGGTTAGGACATGTATACCTCGGAGAGATCTTCTCGGACAAGCTGCCTTAATTTTATATCTATCTGGAACTATATGAGAAGAGACAACCAGTCATGAGTAAGTAAAAAGCTTGGAAGGGATTCGTCAATTATCAAAATTGTCCAGTATTAAAAACATTCTTAGCTGTTCAAACGTTGTGGTAGTGACATCTGTAAAGAGAAGAATCCATACTTGCTTTGAGGAATTGGTGATTCCCTTTTCGTCGTGCCCTGTGCTAAGCACATTGGGCTACAAGCATACTCCCCAATTTTCAGTCTGTTGCTACAGTCTCCACATCCTTCCATTTAAGGTTGATGCTTTTCAAATCTTCGTGAAATGTTTGGTGCCAGGTTTTCTTTGGTTGTCCTTGTGTCCCCGTCCCCCCCAATTTAATGGTATCCAATTAATTGCAGTCTTTGCTGAGTGTTGTTCATTCATGTGGACCACATGTCCCTCAAAGCTCATTCTACATTCCGTGGCTATCTCAGAGAGTCTTTGGGAATTACATCTTTGTAATTTTCTTGCAACAGAAACTACAAGTGAAGATTCCTATTTACCTCCCAGTTATTGAACGGGTTATAATCCATCAAGCGATTGGGAGCTGCATGAAGCCATAATCAATACAAGTATCTTGAGGACAGAATTGGGAATATCCACCATGAATTAGTGTCACCATCAATGGGGACTTCACAATTTTCCTACAGCTTCCTAGCATGAGATCCTCAACTCTCTTAAGACAAAGGAGCAGAGTAGCTTAGTGATTAAGGTGTTGGGCTAGGGCTGGAGGACCTGGGTTCAAATCTAACCAAAACTGTGGAGGGCTCCATAGTGACTTGGGCCAGTCATTCTCTCTCAGCCTTACCGTGTCACAGGATTATTATTGAAGGGGAAATGTCTAGAAATCCTGGAGGAAAAGTAGAACATAAACTTAATAAAAATGTAAGAGTGTATGGTGGCCTTCAGGAAGATTTTGATATAGCTCCTTTCAGATTGCTGACTGCCTGTCGGAAATAATGCTTTACGTAGCATTGGAGTGGAATTTTCCTGTTTACCTTAACCAGTTTTCATGTGCTCCTAAAAGTTATCATTACAGGATAATTTCTCTTCTTGTCGTTTACTCTTTGCTTCCAACTTGTAAACAGGGATCTCTTGATGTTCAAGGTGGAACAAGCTATCATATAGCTGTTTAGCTGACATGGTTCCTGTATCTGTTTCTTTCTCCAGATTGGTACTCTAGCTTAGAGGGGCTCCATTATTTCTTTCCATAAATGCTATTTTGGGAGAGGTGGGGGTCGAGATTACTTAAGAAGAAACCAGTAATTTTTGGATCCATGAGAAAAGGAGATGGGTAGATAAATTACTGTCTGTTTGGCTTAGTATCATCAGAGAATGACAGAAGGCGTTTACCATCCAAATAAAACGATGATAGTTAGGGCTTCTTTCTTGGTTGCCTTATAGAAAAAAAAACAGGCAAAAGGGCATCTTATTTGGCAGGAAAAAAAGTGTGTGTGTGGGGGGGGGGAAGTTACAATGAGGTATTGTTCTCTTGTGGGAGTTGGAGGCCACAAGCAGACCAGCCAAAATTGGAGAATAAAATTTCACCCTTCCTTTTAAGTCCTCCTCCTCCCCTCGCCCTAAATAATCTAGGAGTTTGCAGGCATAGTTCCTTCATGAAAAGGTCAGCCATTAAGAGACAGATACAGAAAGGCAGCCTCTTGACAAATGATTTAGTATTGTTCCTTGGGTGTTTTAATAATGTGCTGGAGATGACACAGAAAATGTGAACTGAAAACCTTTAGAGCGGAGTTGAATAATGCAACAAGAAGTAAGTTTTGCCTTATCACTGTCTGCAAATTCTTCTTGTAAGGTAACAATCCAAAGAATGTGGGTTAGAGTTTATAACAGGGTGGGCTGGGCAATCATTTTGGGCAAGGTGTCCAACCAAACTGTTAACATCATCAATGCTAGCAGGGAGTGCAGTTTGGTCTCGAACCCTACTCCTACCACCACTGATGATGTTGCCTAGTTTGATAATGAAATGTCTGCAAGAAAACAAACCAAGCTCAGAGAGCACCAAGGATCCCACTGTTCAACCCTGAACTTCAGATATTCTCTTCCATTGAAAGCCATCTATATCCTGAGATCTCTGTCCCTGAAAGGTTGGCAGTTCCCCAAATAATTTATTGGCACCAAACTGAGATCTTTTGGGGAAGACTTCTTTTCTCCTTCGTACATAAAAGCGCATGAAATATGTATTTCTGAGGTGACTTCCTGATGGTTGGATTATCTTACATGCCACCTGTTGCTTTCCACTTTTGTGCAAATGGGCAAACTTGCTAGGAAGCCGCAATTAAAGGCCTGTAATTTCTAAGCCAGGAAATTGAGGTGCTGCTTTTCAGCAGGCCAGCATGTGAAATCATATTCTCAAGCTGGCCTGGAAATCATGGCTTCTTTGGATGTTATCATTCCCAATTTAGACATAGCAGGGTGCTGCATTTAAGAACTGGAGGTCCCTTTTATAGAAGAAGCAAATAGAGAATATGTAGAGAGCTTAAACCAGGTTTGTCCATCCTTAGCAACTTGGAAGATCTGTAGACTTCAACTCCCAGAATTCTCCAGCCAGCATCATGGTGGCCCGGGAGGCATGGCCAATACTCACTTTTGATGTGTGGCCCTTGCTGGATCCTTAAGCCTTAGTGCAGGGGTGTCAAACTCAAGGCCCGGGCCCGCATCTTGCCTGTGGGGCACTTAGATCTGGCCTGTGGAGCTGCCCTGGAAACAGCGAAGGACCGGCCTGCGATGCCTCTGCCAGCAATAAATGGAGCTTGGGAGGGCCACATATAGCCCTCCTAAGCTCTGTTTTCACTGACAAAGGGTTGCAGGAGGCCATCGCAGCTGAAAATGGAGCTTGAGAGCCCCTTTTCGCTGGCAGAGCCAATGGGCCACTACAGGTGCCCCCGACACAAGTGACGTCGAGCTGGCCATGCCCACCACGCCCACCCCGTCCCCCTGAGGTCAAACACAACCCTGATGCGGCCCTCAATGAAATCGAGTTTGACACCCCTGTCTTACTGTCTGTTTTTCTTTTTTTTTTTAAAGTGCGGGAAAGCTATTCTGTAAAAGAGCAGGTTTAGTATGGTTTTCAAGTTGACAGAAGGAGCCACTGGGAGGTTAATCTCTGTCATGAGCCAGAGAATGTCATTATGTGTATCTTTGAGGAAACTCATTACCTGGACAGATGGAGTAGAATGTTTCCTATCAGGGTTTTTGAATAATTCATGGCCGCATGGCTATTTTTCAATTTTTTTAAAAAAAGACTGATATCTTGTTCCTATTTTGGAAGATTATGTGAAATAGCTGAGGCTATTTTTAGTCTTAATAGCTGTTGCTGTTTTTCTTGAACCTGTGCTGCAGCTTTTCACCGTTCCTGTGTTTGTGTTATTTCTGAATAGAGAGAGTTTCATTGTGTAGAAGAGCAGATGGGAATTCTGGAGAGCCAGTGCCTTGCTTGTAACTCGAATCCATCAGTGGCCATCAGGTTGGTTTCTTTAAAAGCCTTCCTTTGTGAAGACAATCAACACTGCTGTCAGTCTATACCAGGGGGTCCCCAAACTTGGCAACTTTAAGATCTGTGGACTTCAAACTCCCAGAATTCTCCAGCCAGTTGAAATCCACAAGTCTTAAATTTGCCAAGTTTGGGGACCTCTGGTCTATACATTCATGGCTATTTATATATTAGGCATCACTGTTTCAGGGAGCCTTTGGGCCATAGATCTTCCTCTGTCACAAAGGTCTCCAAACCTTGGCAACTTTAAGACTTGTGGACTTCAACTCCCAGAATTCCTCAGCCAGGCATGCTGGCTGGGGGATTCTGGGAGTTGAAGTCCATCAGTCTTAAAGTGGCCACCTTTTGGAGACCCCTGCTCTATCACGAATTGAGGATTTACTGTGTAGTTTCATTGAGGAGTTTTGATGCCTTAACCCCTAGGCTAGTGTTTTTCATCCTTGGGACCTTTAACATGGATGGACTTCATAGATGGCTGGAGAACTCTGGGAGTTGAAGTGCATCCATCTTAAAGTGGCCAAAGTTGGGAAACACTGCAGCAGGTCAAGCTGGCTCTCTTTAAAATAATGACTGCTTCATTCTGCTTTTTTATTTTATTTTTTTTGACTGCGTGGGTTTTGAATTTTATCCCTATGCCTGGGTATATGATCGAAAAGCAGAATGGAATTATTCATATGATATGATGTAAGGGGATGACCAATGTTTGTGATGCTTGTAAATCTAACAAAATGCTTTTGTTTCTTGAATCTGTGGCTTACGGAGTGTGTTGTGTGCAGTCATGTTGGTGTGATATCTCACTGTCCCTTCTGAAAGGCTTAATCTGTCCACTTTTGTTTCACGGATTAGTTTTTCCTGAAGGGTCTCAGGGTGTCATCTCGAAATTATTTTTGATGTTGTCCTACTCTATTGCGTGTGTGTATCAGGCTTTTTTCATAATATTTGAGATAAACAATGCTTAATAGAGCTCTGGTGGCAAAATGGTTAGAATGCAGCATTGCAGACTAACTCTGCCCACTGCCAGCAGTCTCCCGCTTGGGCAGGGGGTTGGACTAGATGACCTACAAGGTCCCTTCCCACTCTGATTATCTGTTATCTGTTATAATTCTGTCCGGCTCAAGGTTGATTCAGCCTTCCATTCTTCCGAGGTCAGAAATATGAAGACCCAAATTGTTGGGGAGGCAATACGCAAATAATGCCTACATTGTAAACGGCCCAGCGCTATTGAGCGATATTTAAGTCTTAAGTGCTATACAAGTAGTCCTCGACTTAGGACCACAATTGAGCCAGACATTTCTGTTGTTAAGTGAGGCCTTTGTTAAGTCACGATGAGATGATCACATGACCTTGGGCTACAGCAACAGTCATAAATATGAGTCGGTTGCCAAGAAGTCTGAATTTTGCTCAGATGACCATGGGGATGCTACCAAGGTTGTAAGTGTGAAAAATGGTTCGTATGTCACCTTTTTCAGTGCCGTTGTAACTTTGAACTGTTGTAAGTGAAGGACTACCTGCA